AACTTAATTTAGGTTTAATAATATTTTTTTATAAAGATAATAATTAAATATTCGGTTAGAACTCGATAATTATCCTAATTATATTTTAGATTTTTTATATTTTAAAATGAGATGTTTATCCTATATTTGATTATGTTTATCTGCAACTAGTTATACGAATTCAAACATAGAGCTTTAATAAGTTGTACTTATGCATAATTTACTTGTAAGCTTGAATTTTAAGAATATGCATCAATATGCAGTACTTCATGCATAAAAAATGGTTTTTAAGATTTTTCGTCAAATGCTTTATAATATAATATAGATATATCTATACTATATTATAAAACATTTGATGAAAACTCTTAAAGCATTTGATGGAAACTCTTAAAAAACATTTGATGCATAAAATATTGTTTATTGATGCATAATACTTAAAAATCAAGATTACAAATAAATTTTGCATAAATACAACTTAAAGGTTTAATGGCGGGGACCTCATGTCCCCGTGGTCCACATTTTGTGAACCCTACTTGTCATACCTCATAAGCAAGCACCCGAAAAGACAACTTGTCCTCCCCTGGAATCGAACCCGGGTAGGCACGCTCAAGGCAAGGCATTTACGAAAGGAGGTGGCCACTAGGCCAAGGCCTAATATTAAAGCTCTATGTTTGAATTCGTGTAACTAGCTGCAGATAAACATAATCAATTATAGGATAAACATCTCATTTTAAAATATAAAAAATATAAAATATAATTAACATAGTTATCAAGTTCTAACAAAATAATTAATTATTATCTTTATAAGAAAATTATACTATTAAACCAAATATAAATTATTTCGTTATCGAACCTAAATTAAATTATAATAAAAAAATTTGAATTACAAAAATACACAAAAAATAGGAATTCTAAATAGTTAATTTGATACTAATATTGATATATTTTTGTCAAAATTTTATGATATCTTCAAATTTATCGCCTTTTCAAAATCACATAAGACCATGCTATAACATCGACTAAGATAAAAAATAAATAAAAATATTATTATCAAGATATATCTCGCTGCATTGCGCGAATACCCTTTCAGTATATATTAAATTTAAAAATGATTTGATAAAATAGATTAGTTTTTAAAATAAGGTCCAATTAAATAAAAGGTTTTATCTTTGTTGTTAAATAAACTAAATAAAGATTTGAAGTAAGTTTTTATTTTAACAGATTCTCTTTAAAATTAAGAAAATAAAAAAATTATGAACATGATAACCATGAAAAAGATTTTTTATTAAATTATATTTTTATTAATAAAAAAATTGAAATTAAATATTTAGGAGATAAAAATAATAATATTTTTGTTAAACGTATAAAATATTTTAACAATATAATCATATTAAAATCTTGAAAATAATAAATTCAGATTTTAAAATTTGATTTTCCATTCATAGAAAATCTTATGTTAAGGTACGACTATTTAAGTGAAAATCAGAATTAATGGTTTTAATATATATGTTTCCATTCTCACAAAATCTATATTTTCCTAATATTATTTAAAAGGATATTTATGAGTTTGTTGGAAATATATATTCTCATTATTATTTCCTTTTTATTAAATAATATTTATCATTGATTTATTATAAAGAAACTTAATTTAGGTTTAATAATATTTTTTTATAAAGATAATAATTAAATATTCGGTTAGAACTCGATAATTATCCTAATTATATTTTAGATTTTT